CTTTGTGTGGAAAGAGCAGCCTGCCCCTTGTCTGGAAGGAGCGCACTTGCCATTTCCACCAGAGGCTGCGTTTCCCCGTGGTTCCCAGCTCCCGCAGCGAGGGCTCCTGCTCGCTGGTTGGACGCCCTTTTGTTGACACCCTCATGGTGGACCTCAGACTAATGGACTCGTTCCCAATGGTCAGATGTGCAGGGCCTGCCCGCCGCTCTGCTGGGCGGTGCCTGCTGCAGGCCTTGGGCCTCCTGTGGGCGGTCACCTCTCAGTGCCAGTCCATGACTGTCTTGGGGTCCCGGACCGGCTGCTCTTGGGGCAGTGTAGGCTCGTGCACAGCCACACAAGCCTGGAATATATAAAAGGAGTTTGAGCATGAATTGGCTTTTCAAATAGATTCCATTTTTAAAACAATACTTTCCATCATTTCTTCAAATTATAGACTCCTTAGGTGTAGGTAGGTAAACGTTTTTATTTATATAAATTCAGTGCAGGAAGAGACATGTGGAGTGAAGTCGTATTTGAACAGAGTGTGGCTAGACTCCACATTTAAGCAGCATGTTGTCTGAGTATACAACTCACCAAACATGTCCACAGCCATGTTCATGGTACAAACTCAGCAGAACCCGCTCCTGACCTGCAGGCAGCGTGAGCAAAGCAGGCGGTCATCCGGCGTCTGTGTCCTGTGCCCAGCGCTGCGGCAGTGAAGGCGGCGGCCCTCCCACAGGGCCGGCTCCCAAGCCCTCTGAGCAAACATTCCAGCCCCAGGGGCGTCAAATTCGGTTGAAGAAGGAGCACCAGTGATTCTCTCGTGAGTCTGATGATCTCAGTGTCGGAGAGCACCAGGACCACACCCAGCCCCGCACACGGCCCACACACGCCCCACATAGGCCTACACACACCGCACACACAGCCCCGCACACGCCCCACACAGGCCCGCACACAGACGTGGACAGCTGGGGCACGTGTGAAAACTCTGAGCCAGGAAACTCAAGGCCACAGAGACCCTCCTGGAGCAGGGCCCTCACACCGACTCCCCCTCTGCACGGTCACATAGTGTAACATGCTTAGTTCACAGAAGGTAACATGTTACCTCCTGCGGTGAGCACAGCTTGTATAAAAGACCCTGCACTGCGCACATGTGCACCCACTCGCACACGCACAGTCACACACAGTCACACACTACAGGTTCCTCTACGCATGAGCTGAGGGCATAATTGTTTACGGCTGAAAACACACAAATAAAAAAAGAAACTCTAAGCTCAAAATCTGAAAAATCAAAGACAAATGAAGTCAAAGTCTTTAAAAATACAGTTCAAGTCGGTGGGAAAGGTTTCGCTCGTCCGTCTGCTTCTGCCTTTGGACTCAATGCTCAGCCCCCGGCTGGCACTGGGAGGCAGCGGGGGGACAGGGCGCGCGGCCGAGTGGGGAGCGTGTGGAATCGCATAGACGGACCACAGGCCCAGAGGGCACAGCGAAAGCCTGGCTTTCAGAACAGGTGGGCGTTGCCTAGTCACACCTGCCATGGCTCACCCTCCGCTCCCAGCACGTGCGAGCGCGGGGCCAGCACTGCACGTCACCGTGGCTGCTAGCGCCTGTCCAAGCGTGTTTACTGTGGACGTCCTGGAAGAAACAGGAATCCAGGGGACCCCTCGGGTTCTCTGACGCCCGGCAGCGGCTCCCCGGCTGACCGCAGCCCCCGGAGGTGCACCAGCGAGGGGGAGCGAGATCCCGTCCTCTGGGCCAACATGTCGGGCAGCAACGTCTCGCAGCAGGTGCTCACAGCGCGGCCTGAACGACAGGTGCGGGAGGAGCCGGTGGGCAGGCGCCCGTTCCTCCAGGAGCCCTCTGGCCGCGGG